TTATTTCTTTTCTAGTTATGAAAGCATATCCGCTGCTCCAGCCCCAATCTCTCTCGTCCGATACATGCTGCAACCTTGTTGTCTGTGTATTCTATCTCCATCCCCGAGTTCCTATGCAGTGTCGGACGTTTGCAGTGGCGATTCTTGAAAGTTGGCAACACCATTTTCCCTCCGTTTATTTGTATGTAAAACAATCGATTCTTTGTAAGGCCCGCCTCACCTAAAATCGATATTTTCAACGGATTTAAACGGAGGAAAAACAGTGTTGCCAACCTGCAAGATCGCCACTGGACGTTTGCATATAGTCGTTCACGTGTTTATGAATCCTCACGGTTGCCAAAAAATCGAGTCCGTTCAGAAAATAACCAATGACTGGCTACTTTAATACTCATATTCTTATCATTTGTCAACATTAATGATTTTACAGTATGAGAGATATTTTGATTAATGACTGACATTGAACCTGAATAATGCGAGGATTAAAAATGAGCATTGCAATTTGAAAAACGATGACTTAAAATCGATGGATAGCGCATATTATGGCACTACCAATCGAACATTTAATGCTTTTTGAGATGATGTATTTTGCGAAATTACTTGAAACATTTTCTCCCTAACAATATTTTTCTAATCAGCGCGTGTTCCCTCAGTGGTCTGGTTTTATCAAGGGAAACCTTTAAATAAACGTAATCTATACTATAAGCTCCGAGACCTCCTAATTTTGCGAAACTGGTAACGCTTAGTTCCAGCGTTCTACCGGGCCGATTTTCATGATTTTTGCGGCTATCGACGGGCAATTGTCTCTAGATAAGCCAACTCTTTTTACATTTTCAAAATATGGCCCAGGTTTTTTTATATTACGTGGTAAAGTTGCGAATTCTCCCATTTAAACAATGTAAATTTATACTTTTTGTCATAGTTCGTTTGAGCGTTCTACCGGGCCGATTTCCATGATTTTTGCGTAAATCGAGAGGTAATAGGCCCTAGATGAGCCCGCTGTAATCAGATTTTGGAAAAAGGACCCAGGTTTTTTTAAAATCACGTTATAAAAGTGAGTGAGTTTACAGAATGCTCCGGTACTGCTACCGCTATGCGCGGGAGGATGCGCAGTGGTCGAGGAGGTTGCGCAGTAGCTGTGTAGCCTGCGCATCAGCTCTACACTTATCTACACTAGATTCGCAGTGGAGACCTAACGTCGAGCGGAGGCCGAGTCGTCTAAGACGTCGAAGGTGTCCACTTTAAACTCGGTGTGGGTTCGATCCCCGACTAAAGCATTTTCTTAATTATTACCTGACTATCATTGTTCATTGTTTTACTGCAACATTTCATCAAGCAGTCATTCCAAAACGCGTCCTTTTAATTTTAAAGTAATTTTAAGTGAAGTTTAAAATTAAAGTATATCTCATATCGTAATTTTTTAAAGGGAAAATAAAACTAAAACTGATAGGAAGGTAAAAATAGGGCCGCGAAGCGGCCCATTGATGGTGCGGAGCGCCTTCGGGGGGTTGGGCCGCGTAGCGGCCAGGGGGCGTAGCCCCCTAGTTACCCACTAAGTAACAATCAGAGCGAAAGTGATCAAACTTCTGCCAGATTGGCGGATCCAGCGAATTGGCAACATTGCTTTTCTCCATTGAAATCTATGAAAATGTATCGATTCTTAGACGGGCCAGGTGCTCCGACAAGAATCGATCATTTAACATAGGTTCAAATGGAGGGAATCCGGTGTTGCCGAATTGCTGGGTCCACCTCTGTGCGCGCAACTATTCGTGCTCCAAAGCCGCTCATATTGCCATCACGTTTATTGAAGGCGAACTAGAAAAAATGAGAGACACGCAGCGAAGATGATCCTTGACTTTATGTTGTTCATTTTTTTATTCACTCATCATTATTTAGTAGTAATTAAAGAATTAACTGTATGTAATTTTCGCCAATAAGCGCGTATGTAGCGCTCCGTGCGAATGCACGGAATTTCTTTTAGGAAAACTCGAATTGTACATCCCCAAATGGGATTCTTGCTATTATTAGCCTAAGTCCTATCGGAACAATGAGGTAACCGGTTGTCTCAAGAATAGATCCGGTAAGAAAAATAAGATCAAGAAAACAGTCTCATCCACGCTTTGGTAATATTCTGCCGTGCTCAGGAAAAACACCGTATGAGCCTCCAAACGTTGCCACATCTCCTTCAATGAAGAATACAGTTCCTATGAAAACCGTGAATATTTTCCACCGAAAATTTCAGATGATTTTGTTCGCAATTTAATCTAAGAGATCTGGAAATTTCAAGGAAAAATATTCATAACTTTCCTCAAAAATAAACATTTTACGGGTGGAAATTTGGCAACTCTCGAATGTTCATACGGCGTTCTTCCTTAGCACGGCAGTATTTCTCTGTGCTTTTCTCAAATCATTTTAAGAAGCTGTTTACCCGCTGCCTGGCTCCTTTTTTGAGTGAATATAAAAAGAAGGAAAGGGAGAAAAGTTACATGATGAAGTGCTTCGGGAGATGTGCGGTTGTACCAAATCCCAAGAAACTTAAAAGAGTCGGGAAAAGTTGAGGCTCCTACATGCTCCTCCGGTTCAAGTCTCTTCGTAGTATAGGTTTGGACTTTTTCCAACTTGGGAGTGTAAAGTTCAGGCCGTCAGTGTAAGTTTATCAGCTTTAGTCTAGCGGCATAATCCTCCATTTGTAAATTCGCCCAAACAAGTTTCCTATGCGCAAAGTTGAAGCGAGGCCCCGCCTTGTATGATTCCTTCATAATCCTTTCTTCGTGTTTCGATATTTTTTTCTGAAAAATTCCACTCCTCTCATTTTGCCACGGGGTATTCTAAGTTGTTTCTAAGATCATGCAAAACCTGCCCGGAAATGTAAATATGAGTAATATTCCACTTTCCTAGAATACAGGGTTATTCAAAAGTCACGCACCACTGCGCACATTTGCGGGTTAAGACGTTTTTCCTCATATCGAGGGGGAAACTTTTTTAGGCACTTTCTAGTTTTTGATCCCCTCAGGGGGAGGGGGGCAACTCAAAAATTTCAAATAGCCACCCCCCTCATGGCCAGTGGTGCTTGACTTTTGAATAACCCTGTATAATCGGTCTTTTCATGCAACGGATTTTACAAGAATCAGCCAGTGGCGTGGCGTGCTCTGCGGTACATCGATTGATCGGCCATTCAAACCCATGACAAGTATCAATAAACTGGGTGTTCGCAGCAAACACCTTAATAATCGATTATTTACCACAGCTTCAAATGGGGAAATATCGATAGATCGCAAAGCACGCCACACTAAATTAGCAGCCTAACTAAATTAAGCTAAGAATCATCGAGTGGTGAATACCAATTTCGCAATAGAGGAATGCATTTTTCCCGTCTCTCTATTTTTTTCTGCGCTAAATTCATTGCAAACTGTGCCCAAAATCGAGGCAAAATGTGTGTTGGTTTGTATTTCACTCCCTATATTAACCATAAGTAACACAAGAACACAAATATTTTTATCAGTGTGTTGCTACTATGTAGTTTTCATAGTAGCAACACAGCATCATCGAGTGGTGAATACCAATTTCGCAATAGGGGAATGCATTTTTCCAGCCTCTCTATTTTTTTCTGCGCTAAATTCATTGCAAACTGTACCCAAAATCGAGGCAAAATGTGTGTTGGTTTGTATTTCACTCCCTATATTAACCATAAGTAACACAAGAACACAAATATTTTTATCAGTGTGTTGCTACTATGTAGTTTTCGTATATGTATGGGCACAGAAATCTTGTTTTCGCAGTCTGAGCAATTAGGTTCACCCAGTCGAGTGACACAGCAGGCTAAAAAAATAAATTTGCGGCTTTGTATTGAGAGAGAATATTTAATTTTGTTTCAGTTTGCTTCCGCCTCCGTATACCGACGTGCTAAGGAAAAACGCCGTATGAACCTTCAGCCGTTGCCAAATATCCTTTTATTTTAAATCAATCAATAATTTTCTGGAAAATTTTTAAATATTTTTCCTCAAATTTTTCAGATAATTTTGTTCGCAATATCATCCAAAGTTCCTGAAAATTTCAAGGAAAAATATTCATAGCTTTCCTCAAAATTAAAAATTTTATCGAAGGAAATTTGACAACGCTCGAATGTTCATAGGGCGTTTTTCCTTAGCACGGCAGTATGAGCGAGCCGCTCTCAATGCAAGAGGATCATGTCATTATGATCTTTAATTATTCATTTATGTCAAGTCAGTGCTCACTGCTCAGTGATCGGATACCAATCGCGACGCAATCTGAGAAGTTTCTGTTTTGACTTTGAACTTCAAACTGCTAATTTCAGCCGGTAAATGACCACTGAATCATTCAAATCACTTGCGGAAACCCTCGTTTTGAACTCGCCTCAAGCAAAATTCAATACACCGGCAGCATAATTTCGAAACTTTTACCAACTTCCAAACTCTTCTAATTCCTTTTTAAAAGATCTTCCCTCCAAAGCTGTTTAGGTTTTATCTCATGAAAATTCACGCTTCGAAAATTTTAATTCTTATCTTTTTCAATTTTTGAAGTAACTCTCTGAACGGTTTTCGCTTTCTCTTCTAAAAATGAGAATCGGATGCTCAAAATTTTTAGATTCTTTGAGTTTCTTTTCGCTACTTTCTACGTTTGATCCAATAAACTTCTTTTGCTTTGAATTCTAGTGTCATTTGGTCTGAGTTCTTCGGAACAGTTTCAATTTTTTTGTTTGAACTCATGAACATCGCTCTCTTTTTCGTACTCTGGTTTGTGAGCTCTGAATTTATTTGCAAGACCAGGGCATATTTGCAGTTTTAAGGGACAAAATGCATTCACAAGCGTCAGAAGTTTTCCGTGTAAACCACAATTTGCAACTTTATTCCATAAAGTAAAGTTGCAAGTTGCAATTTTGCAGTATAACATTTTTTTCTTTTAAATGCAAATATCACCCAAAATAGTAGTGGTGAATCCATTCGATTATAAATCGTCATTTATCTCAGTTTATTATTTTTCAGGTCAGCTGCATCATAAGACTGGCTTCCGTATCCGTCGATTTGCATCCCTCACCTTCGGTAAGTTTCTTTTTTTCTTTATACGTTTATTTTCCCAACGTCGACTTCTCAGCTTACTGCGCTTAAGAAAAGTAAGGTACATCACCCATGGCAATCTGAAGAAAGCAGGAGTCAAAAATTCGGTTGGAAATAACACTGACTTAAAATCCGAACTCCTACCCGAAACATTACTCTTTTTAGTCTTTTCATTCAGCCGTGGTAATACCTCGAAGCACCTGCGATCAGGTCCCTTTTCGGATCCACGATCCACAGAGTGTCTATAAGTCCGGAAATCGTATTGATTTTTAGGGCGGTCCGGAAGTACTGAACAAGTGCGGAATTCCGAAAGAAGGTCCGGAATTTTTTCATTTTTTTGTCATTTTTGTCGCAATTTTAGGGGGAAATTCAAATTTTTGAAATCTGCCGAATTCTGTCAATTGTAAGTACTGATAAAGTTCTGAATTTCTTGGGAATGTACTGAAAAAGTATTGATTTTCGGCTAGCCTGTTTTAGTTGACATCCTGATCCAAAATCTTCGAAGATTTGCATGACCTGAACTTTCGGTCCCTGGGCATGAAGTTCTTTTTCTCCGCTTGAGAATTCTGACGAAGTGCGATCACATTTTTTCTCGAGGGTGAAAGACTGAGAGGGCATAATCATTCTAAGGGACGCTATAGCAACTTTATTATATAGAAAGAGTTAAGACACCGCGGCTTATGGATGTCACAAATGGGAATAAAGATTACTCAAATCGGACGTTTGGTGTAATCTTTAATCAACCCATTCCCAAATTCCTGTCTCCGTTTCCACTGTCATTTCATTAGTTCCTTGCCGTACCTCCAATTCCGCGGTCCATTGTAGTTTATAATCTTTGCAATTGGTGAAACTGTAATCTTTATTCCCGTTTCGTGACACTGTGAAGGCCTAAAATACGGGAACCGATCAGAAATGGATTCGCGTTGTTACTCTCAGTATGAAGGGACTCCAGTTCTCACCATTCATCTCTTTTTGCGTTCTTCGCGGCGTGGAGTCGGGCGATTCTGCAATGTTGCTTCTGCGAAAGTTTGATTAATATATCATGCTCGAATCCCTCGAAGCCGCACACAAGAGCTCTACTCAACTGTTAGCGATGAAAGCGTCAATTATCGGCAAATTTTCCGCGTAGGTTCACGTACGTAAGCGTTACGCAAATTCACTGTCATACGTGAACAACTCGAGCGGATTGCTACATCAACATTGTGAGTCTAATGACTGTTTCTCCCTGGTATCAAGTATTTGCAGCACAAGCGCGGCCACAAGGACGGATTTCCCTGAATCCAGGACGCCCGTTGCCCGTATTGGTTTTCCGTTTCACCTGATGTAAGTTAAGTGGGCGACCAACGACCGCTATGTGCAGCTCCGAGAGAGGAAGTTTGGACATAGTTGCCGCGTTGGATCTTCCACAGAACTTGCCATGAGTAATTGGACAGGGTTACCACAGTCAGGGAAACCCGAAAAATATCAGGGAATTTCACATAGTCAGGGAAAACCGGGAAATGTTCACTGGAAAAAAAAACACATTGGATCTAGAGTCCAGACTCTTAAAAACATCGACAAGAAAAAATACTCTTGATTCAATCAGATTTAAGCTTAAATCAAGAACCAAGCCTCTTAATTTGAGCGGATTTCCTTTTGATAAGCTTAAATCTGATTGAATCAAGAGTCCTTTTTCTTGTCAATGTTTTCAAGAGTCTGGACTCTAGGTCCAATGTGCTTTTTTTTCCAGTGTTAGGGAAAATGACGAAAATGTCGAAAATGTCAGGGAAAATTTGTTAAATTTTCATTATTTGCTTTCTAAAAAGAGTTTGAGGTCTCGAACTACAAATTATGCCTGAAAACTATTTTCAATTATGTCTTCTGAACCATTTGCTATATCTTCAATGGAGATGTTGCATGTGTGAGGAATTTGCGATTTGACTGCTGATTCTTAGGTAAAAGTTCGCGAGAAACACGATGGTGCCACTGGTTTTCTCTGAAATCAACTCCCAAGCTCAACAAAAGCTCTCAAGTTGAGGCCAAAATGGAGGGGATATCCCACGCTATCCTGAGAGTCCACCTCTACATCAAGACAAACTCTTCATGCAAAGATAAACAGCAAATGCATTAGCAGGGATGCCGGGTTTTCAGTTTTAGAGCCCCCAAATAAAGTTGCAGCCCTGTCAATGTATTTGCTCCCTCTCTTTGCATAGAGAGTTTGTCTTGATGTAGAGGTGGACTCTCAGAATAGCGTGGGATATCCCATCCATTTGGGCCTCATCTTGAGAGCTTTTTTTGAGCTTGGGAGTTGATTTCAGAAAAAACCAGTGGCACCATCGTGTTTCTCGCAAACTTTTACATAAGAATCAATAGTCAAATCGCAAATTCCTCACACATGCAACATCTCCATTGTCAGGGAATTTCACCAAAATGTGTAAGGGAAATGTCAGGGAATTTCAATTTTCAAATTCTATGGCAACCCTGATCGTACTACATTTTGCAATTAGGAACTATTTCTCATGCACTTCTCCACATTTCTGAAACAACTATGTGCCTAGGGAAACTAATGGTATATCATACATACGTCGTTTCTCAACAGATCCAGATATCGCAGTACAAATGGCAAAATGCAGTCCAATTAGTCCCAACTCCCAAGTCAAGCTTTCAACTCACCGAACTGAAAAACTTGGATTCAAATGGAACGTGTTCCGCACCGACCGAAGTGCTTCAGTTCGGTGAAATGAACCTTGAGCTCACTGAACGGAAGTTCAGCTCTGTCAACCAAAATGGCAGTTTCGCTCGACTCAAGGGCCCGAAAAACCGAAAAACACCCAAGCCCAATTTACACTATCAAACTTTTCATTCAACTCTTGAATGCAACTTGTTGTAAAGAAAAGTTGATAGTGTGATACTAGCGCGAGAAAACAACAATTTGATGAAAAATTGAATGGAAGCTTCAATGTGACGTCACATTTAACTTTTCGTTTAACGAAGAGTACGAATGAAAATTTGTTTGCGTTCAATTTTCCATCCAACTTTTCATTCAGTTATATGTCGAATGAAAAGTTTGATGGTGTGAATTGAGCTTTACTGAGCTACGCAGTTCGTATATTCGCAGTTTTTTTTCTCCGTGATGAGCAGTGTAAAAGGAACACTAACAGTTTTTTTTCCGCGTGCATGAAATAATTTGGCTTCGGTGTGGCTATGCCAATCAGGTTGAACTATTCGCTTAAGAGAAAAACGAAAGTTAAATCAGGTGCGTCAACATCGAGCCTCGTCACCTTGAGAGTAATAAGTTACGAGCGAGGTATCCGTTTGAAAAAATACCAAAATGCGATGTGCATACTTAGCGCAGTACTCGGAATTAACCGGGCAGTCCGGGGCCAGGGTCCGTCCAATCTGGGGCCAGCTGTTCGCCGTCCGCTCAGCCTAGGGCACCCCGCCGAAACACGTCACCCGGCAGAATTGCAACTCGGGAAGTGCGTCGTGTCATTTTCCCGTGAATTCTGCGTCTATCCCGCTTCGGTTTGTGGCTTACCGGTCGGGTTCCTAACCTCGCAGGCCGGGTGCTCATAAATATTGAATTCAACGCTGCGGTGGCGGTGGCGATGACATGGCGCACGGTGGATCGAATCCATAGGAGAGTTCGGACAAAATTTGGAAACTCTAAAAGCTTACAACTCCGTTTATACGAAATTTTGAGGCTCTAAAAGTTGTTTCATTGATTTCCTCGTTAAGTTTACTACAAGAGACACCAGAGTCTCTACAAGTCTACAGAGTCTTCCGGAAAGTCTGGAAATAGTACTAATTTTTTAAGGGCTGTGCGGAAGCACTGAAAAAGTGCGGAAAATCCACGAGAAGGTCCGGAATTCTTTTCATTTTTGTCGCAATTTGAGCAAGAAATTCTAATTTTTGAAATTTTTTGAATTTCGTCGATTGGAGGTACTGAAAAAGCACTGAATTTTTCGTGGAGGAGGTACTGAATTTCTTTAGAATGTACTGAAAAAGTACTGATTTTTGGCCAGCCTGTTTTAGTCGACACCCTGGACACCCCTTGCAATTTAAAATGTGACGAAATAAACATCAAAATTTTCAGTTAAATTTCATGTCTGACCTCTCTGATTAACTCGACCCACTGTGTGGCGGCGGCAGTGGTGTTGTTCATGACCAGTCCGGCTGACGACCTGCCACCATTTCGCACCTTGCGACAAACAACAAATCTCCGGACATTCGGGGTATTTAGCCTACCTTGGCACAGTTGTTCTATTATTTTTTATGCGTATCCTCGTGTTCACGCATGCATTCTATGATAAGCGCTCAGCTGAGTTACCTTAATGGGTCTCGCGGTCATAGAGATGTACGGAGAAAAAACAAAACTATTATCTCGCAGTTACTAGAGAGTATCTACATGCGGAGAGTACAAACATGTCGGTAATTTGGAGGTTAGGTCATGGATCTTATCAAAGAGAAAACAAGAGCCCGTTTGTGAATCTGGGGCCGAGTGGCACCCCTTACTTTTACGAGTCGTCTCTGATCGACTGATCCGCCTGGTGCCTACTTTTTGGAGTCCTTATGGAAGATAACAGGGAGTCCATTTTCCATTAATAATTTACCGAAAACAAGGGGTCTTTTGTTCATAGGTGTTTAATTCTTTCGAGTATCAAATGGTGAAGAAAGGTGAAATTGCTAGGAATTTTCTCATTTTCAGCTTTTCAAAATTAAATCCTAACATTTTTATTTGAGGTTATGGCCTATTGTTTTGAACCAAACGATACATCGAACCACTATCGAATACGATATATTCGCTCCCTATAGGCCCTGGACTTTATTTGACTGAAAAAAACCTAGAAAATGCTGCCTCAGGTTCGTCCGAGCACTCTGCTTTTCAGTCAGCTAGAAGAACAATAGCTTATAAAATATACATTTATGATTTCATACTTGGCAACACCGGCGGTGATGACACTTTTCGGCGAGACGTTACTCTACTCATGTTCTGTTCCCGTCGC